CAAATTGTGACTAGGACTCCCCTCACCCTCCAGCTCCCTGGGGGCGGGATGGGGGGACTGCGCGTTTTCCTGGTTCTCTGGCCAGAACGTCAGGCTTGGCATTTTTGCTGCCCTGCTTAACCACACAGTTTCCTGGGCGCTTGGGTGGCTCAGTCGTTAAGCGTCTGCCTTCGGCTCAGGTCATGATCCCAGGGTCCTGGGATCGAGTCCCGCATCGGGCTCCCTGCTCCGCGGGAAGCCTGCTTCTCCCTCTCCCTCTCCCCCTGCTTGTGTTCCTGCTCTCGCTGTCTCTCTGTCAAATAAATAAATAAAATCTTTAACCACGCAGTTTCCTGATTCAGAGCACCCTGGGTCAAAGCAAGAAGACACAAGAAAGAAAAAAAATTTTTTTAAAGATTTTATTTATTTATTTGACAGAGAGAGACACAGCGAGAGAGGGAACACAAGCAGGGGGAGTGGGAGAGGGAGAAGCAGGCTTCCCGCAGAGCAGGGAGCCCGATGCGGGGCTTGATCCCAGGACCCCGGGATCATGGCCTGAGCCGCCCAGGCGCCCACAAGAAAAAAATGTGCCAGGAAACTCACTGCTGCCACACTAGTTGTTCTTCACATTTTGACCTTTCACCCCAATCTGTTCTCTATTATTACTTTACAGAGTTCTTTCAGTAACTGCTTTTTGTATTTGTTGAGTTTTCAGTTGTAATCTGTGGCGAGATAAGCTGTAGTAGGATTGCTCCTGCTTAGTCTTTGTTATCTCCCCCTCTTTCTTAATTTTAATGTCTTTTTTTCCCCTTTGAGATAAATTTATTTATTTATTTAAGATTTTATTTTTAAGTCATCTTTACCCCCAAGGTGGGGGCTTGAACTCACGACCCCGAGATCAAGCGTCATGTGCCCCACCGGCCAAGCCAGCCAGGCGCCCCTCCTTTTGAGATAATTTTTAAACTTACAGCAGTTAGAAAAATAAAAAAGTTACCGAGAGTTCCTGTATGCCCTTCACCCAGCTTTTCCTTTTGTCAGCGTCTCACATGAGAGAACGCTTATCAAAACTAAGAAATTAACCTTGGTACATTACTACTAACTAAAGTATAGAAGTTATTTGGATTTTATCAGTGTGCGTCCTTTTTCTGTTCTGCGATTCAATCCAGGATCTCATATTACATTTAATTCTCATGTCCCCTTAGGTTCCTCTGGTCGGTGACAGTTCCTTAGTTTTTCCTTCTTTTTCATGACCTTGACACTTTTGAAGAGGACAAGCCAGCTATTTTGTAGGATGTCTGTCAGTTTGGGTTTGTCTGAGGTTTTTCTCATGATCAGGTTGAGGTTATGCACTGTTGGGGAAAATACCACAGACTTGATGTCATGCTTTTCTCTTTCCCTCTACTGGGGGTCCCTGAGGTTGACGTGTTTAACTGGTGATGTTCACCTTGATCACTTGGCTGAGGTGTTATCTGCTGGATTTCTCTACTATAAAATTATTGTTTTACTCTTTGTAATTATTAAATGTATTAAGGGAGACACTTCGAAATTATGAAAATATCCTGTGTCCACTTCAAGTTTAACCCATTAAATTTAGCATCCTGTAGTGGACCATTCTCTTTACAGTAATGGGGGCCTGGCTGGCTCAGCCGAAGAGCATATGACTCTTGACCTTGGGGTTGTGAGTTCAAGCCTCATGTTGGGTGTAGAACTTACCAAAAAAAAAAAAAGAGCCTCAGTCATGATGATGATGATGATGATGATGAATTGGATCCCAGAAGAGCACCTGCCAGTCATGACATGACCCAGAACTAGTTTTTCCTCTTGAAACCTCAGCTTTCTCATTCACAAAATGGGGTTGGGGTGCCTGGCTGGCTCAGTCGGTGGAGCATGCAACTCTTGATTTCGAGGTTGAGCTCAAGCCCTGCGTTGGGTGTCAGGATTACTTAAAAAAAATAAAATTTTAAAAAATAAATAAATAAAATGGGGTAATTATGAATCTGTTCCCACTGGGCTGTGGAGATGTTGAAATGAGGTACCGGCAGCAAAATAGGCCGCACAGGGCATGACACATAGTAGGTATCTTGGGATGGGACTGTCATTGTTGGAAGACTGAACTGTGGAAGAGAGGGCTCTACGTTTAGGTTGGGAGGTGGCAACATGGGGCAAGGACGTGCTCTGAAGGCCCTCGGTGGGGATGATCTTAGGGGAATCCCTGCAATTGTCTGTGATCAGGAAGCTGGGCAGGGGGAGTAGGGTTTCTAGGAGCCAGAAGGAGCTTGGGAGAGTTCCCAAACTTGACTAGCTTTCTGGAGGAGGTGACCTCAGATAAAGGAGGCCTCCTTAGGTGAAGACTGGAGGCTGGACCACCAAAAAGAGGCCATGGCAGGTGGTGCTTAGTGGGGGGCACTGATACCACAGTGACCGTTAGTGAACAAAGCTACTCTCAGTACCCCCTTCCAGGGTTAGGGACTGGACTGCCAGGGGATGGCAGAAGCTAGAAGTTTTCCCAGTGCAAGATATCTGCAGGATTATCCCAGAAACTCTACCCAGCAGGGTGAATAGAGCTGGACCCGAGTGTGGTGTGCATACATCTATTCACTCATTGTCTCATTTATTTATTTATTTATTTTTTAAGATTTTATTTATTTATTCATGAGAGACAGAGAGAGAGAGAGAGAGAGAGAGGCAGAGGGAGAAGCAGGCTCCCAAGGAGCAGGGAGCCCGATGTGGGACTCGATCCCAGGACCCTGGGATCATGACCTGAGCCGAAGGCAGACGCTTAACCACCTGAGCCACCCAGGCGCCCCCATTGTCTCATTTATTCCACAAGTAGTTATTGAGCACCAACTGTGTGCCAGGCTCTGTGCTAGATGATGGGCATACAGCAGAGAACAAAGCATCTCATGGAGCACCTATTCTAGAGAAAGGAGATAGGATAAATAAGGAAGCAAACAGGATTGTTCTGGTTATATACTGTTCTGCAAACAACTACCCCCAAATGTAATGGCTTAAACAACAGCCATTTTATTACATCTCAGAGATTCTGTGGGTCAGGAATTCTGGCAGGGGTTGGTTGGGTGATTCTTTTGTTCCCAACTGGGATCTCTCAGTGGGACTCTGCTGATGGACAGGCTGGTCTGGAGGACCCAATATAGCTTCACTCAGACATGAGTGACTGGAAGGCTGAGCTCAGCTGGAAGTGTCCTCCGGATCCTACACAGGGCCTTGCCAGGGTGACAGTCTCATGGCAGGCTTACAGGGCGGCTGCTTGCCCCAGAGTGAGCGCCCTGGGAAAACCAGGCAGAAGCTGAATGGCTTTTCATGATCTGGCCTTGGAAGACCGGTATCATCACTTTGGCTGTCATCGGTTGGTCAAAGCAGTCACAAAAGCCCATCCAGGCTCATGGGGAGGGGATATAGAGCCTCCTTTTGATGGGAGGGAGTATCAAAGAATTTGTGTGGGGGTGTTTGCGTGTGTGTGTGTGGTTATTTTTTTAAAAACTTCCGCAAGGAGGGGGCGCCTGGGTGGCTCAGTTGGTTAAGCGTCTGCCTTCAGCTCAGGTCATGATCCCGGGGTCCTGGGATCGAGCCCCACGTTGTGTTCCCGGCTCAGCGGGGAGTCTGCTTCTCCCTCTCCCTCTGCCACTCCCTCTGCTTGTGCTCTGTCTCTGTCTCTCTCTGTATCTCTGTCTCATATGAATGAATAAAATCTTTAAAAATAAAAATAAACTGGCAGGACTTGGAGACTGGATGAGTGTGAGTGTGTGTTTGTCCGCGGGACGGTGCCCAAGGAGCAGTCTGTGTTTCTACTTTGTCCAGAATTCTAAAACCAGCCCAGAGGAAAATTTTAAAGGTAAAATAGGGGCGCCTGGCTGGCTCAGTCAGAAGCGCACGTGACTCTTGTTCTCCGGGTCATGAGTTCGAGCCCCACGTGGGGTATAGAGATTACTTAAATAAACTTAAAACAAACAAACAAAATAAATGTAAAATAATCTTGCTAATCCTCAAAATGGGAAGGAAATATCCCCCAAATTATTCCTGAGGCATGACTTTAGCCCAGGACACCAAGGCTGTGGGACTTTGGGCAAGTCACTTCACCTCTCTGGGTTTCCCTTTCTTTATCACTACAATAGGTGTGTTGGGTAAAGTGATGCCTTAGGGACCTCCCAGTTCTGACTTTAGTCAGACTCCAGTCCAACCTAGTAACATTTAAACTGCGCATGCCCATCCTTCTCACACACATTCGCCGGGAGACGTGCACAAAGACATTCAGAGCAGCACCACTGATAATAGCAAAACCCATGCAACAACCCAAAGGTTCACCAAGAGGAGCTTGGGTAAAAAAATCACATTGTGGGGCGCCTGGGTGGCTCAGTTGGTTGAGCGACTGCCTTCGGCGCAGGTCATGATCCTGGAGTCCTGGGATCGAGTCCTACATCGGGCTCCAGGCTCAGCGGGGAGCCTGCTTCTCCCTCTGACCCTCTCCCCTCTCATGCTGTTTCTCTCTCTCTGTCAAATAAATAAATAAACAAAATCTTAAAAAAAAAATCACATTGTGGAATATGATACAGCAGTAGAAGTGAGTGAACTAAGGCTACACACATCACCATGGATGACCCTCATGTAATTCATATTGTATGAGAAAAACAAGGGACAGAAAATTGCACAGAGTATGGTTCTATTTATATAAAAGGCAAAAGCAGGTAAAATTAAGCAACAGTATATTTAAGAATGCATACTGGTACATATGTGGAAAAAAATAAAAGAACAAATGATTGATTATCACAAAGTTGAAGAGTGGTAAGATGTGTTGCAGGGAGGGTGGGGATTTTATCCAGAGGTGCACACAGGGGCCTCAAAAGAACTAATATTTCATTTCTTAAGCTGGGTGGCTGGTCCCTGAATGTTCCTTTTATTATTACATTTAAACTGTATACATCAGCAATACCTGCTCTTCTCTATATGTAAGACATTTCACAATTGTTTAAAAAGTTCAGGGATTTGCCCAAGATCTCTTGCTCTTGTTTTTCTTTTTTTAAAGATTTTATTTATTTGCCAGAGAAAGAGAACACAAGCAGGGGGAGCGAAGAGCCCGATGTGGGACTGGAACCCAGGACCCTGGGATCATGATCTGAGCCAAAGACAGACGTTTAACCAACTGAGCCACCCAGGCGCCCTCAAGATCTGCTCTTATGGATGAGGTAATGAGGTCTCAGAGGGCGCTGTCACACAGCAAGGAAGAACAAAGAGGATGAGATAGTGGGGGAAAGGGTAGCTAATGCCCTGATAAGAGCAAGGGCTGAGGGCGGAGATTTCTAGATTGGTCGCCCGCTGTGTACAAGGAGGCAGACACACATCCACATACGAGACACAGAAATGCTCTTCCAGCGCACGCGCAGCTCCAGCTGCAGTTCCCAGATGGTCCGCGAGAGGCCGCCAAGGCACCAGCTTTCGCCGCCCGCAGGCCCCTGGCTGCGTTTCTCGCCCGCGCCGGCGCACTTCTGGATCTTTCCGGGAGAGGGCGCCAGTGACCCGAAGAAAGCCGAAGCGGACGGGGCGTCCACGTTTGCTGGTGCGCGAGCCGAGTTCACCTGTGTGCTGGAGTGCTTTCATCTACCCGGTTTTGGGGCGCCTGGGTGGCTCAGTCGTTGAGCGTCTGCCTTCGGCTCAGGTCATGATCCTGGAGTCCCGGGATCGAGTCCCGGGATCGAGTCCCGCATCGGGCTCCCTGCTCGGCGGGAAGCCTGCTTCTCCCTCTCCCTGTGCTTGTGTTTCCTCTCTTGCTGTGTCTCTCTGTCAAATAAATAAATAAAATATTAAAAATAATAATAATAATCTACCTGGCTTTCCCTGTCACTCAGGGAACTTGGGGTCTCAAGCTGAAGAAACGAATAACACCTGTAGACTTGATTCTGCTCTGCCTCCTGCAGCCTTCAAGCTTGGATCCTGTGGTGCCACCCCCTTTGGATATACAGGGGAGAATCTAGGTTTTGTGGAAACTAGATTTTTGCAACCTGGACACAACGGTTTGCAAATTTTACAAAATTTTACAAAATCGCATAGAAAAACGCGAACAAGTTGCTAGGACTCTTTCCAGACGAGAAGACTTGAAGTTTAAACTTCAGTCATTGCAGGGTAAATCCACCTCTGATTCCACGTGTGCATGTTTATTTACTGTCCCGTCTTTTTCCAGTTGAATGTAAGTTTCAAGAGGGCAAGGATTTTTACCTAAATTGTTAGCTCCTGCAAAACCGTTAGTTCCTAGCACATCGGCGAAGATTTATAACTATTTGTTGAATAAACCACTCGGGGCTGGCACAGTTTTCCAGGGAGAGATGACAATGGCCAAGCCTGGGGCTTTAAAAAAAAAAAAAAAAGATTTCATTTACTTGTCAGAGAGAGAGAGAGCGCGCGCACAAGCAGGGGAAGCAGGCTCCCCACTGAACAAGGAGCCCGATGCCAGACTGATCCCAGGACCCTGGGATCATGACCTGAGCCAAAGGCAGACGCTCAGCCAACTGAGACTTTTGAGGAGTGGATGGGATCAGGATGATCTCACTGAAGGCTCAGAACAGTGACTATAACACCCATTTTAAAGCTGAGGATGCCAAGGGCCTGGAAGGTGAAGCAAGTGCCCAATGAGAAGTGGCACTGGGCCTAGAAGCCGAGTCTGCCTTTTCTTGCCCCTCTTGGCCTGCAGCTACTGCCTCCCCACCCCCCACTCTCCAGCTGCCCCTTGCACAAGCCCCTGATGCAACTATGTATTAGCCCAAGGCGCCCACCTTGGGGGCAGCGCTGGGAAAAAGATTTTGCAAGAGCTGGGGCAGGAAGCACCAGCCAGGGCGGGTCTGGGAAGATAAGGGCTCCCCCTCCAACCACGTGGGCCTCCAGGCCTTCTGGTTTCCTCTCTTCCCTTCCCTTCCCTTTCCCGGACCCTGGCCTGGCCATGACTCACCTCCTTTCCCTCTGGCAGCCCGGCTGGGATCCCAGGCCCGCCTGTCCCAGGAAAGCCTTGCTCTGTGTGACCCTGTGCTGAGGATAGCCCTATCTGGCCAGGAGTTACTGGGGCTCAGTATGAGTAGCTGGCACGGGTAAAGGTTATATGGCTGAGCCTTAGTCTCAGGAGACAAAATGCGGATGGCGCCAGGGCACCTCCTTATTAAGCCAACTCTGAGCTCTGGGTGACTCAAACAGGCAGGTATAAGGTTGGTTGCATGTGAAGCACCCTTACCCCTATGCAGGGGAGGGTGTGCATGGAGAAGTGGGGGCCCGGTGACCCCTCGGCCTCTGGGACAGAAGCAGACATTTCTTCCATTTGGTTGGTTGCTACCCGATTCAAGACCCGTGTCTAGCTGCGTGACCTGCCTCCCATAACCCAGTCACACAGAACCTGGCCCAGCACCTCTCAGAGGTCAACAGAGCCTCGGCCATTTCCGTCTTTTGAGGCTGTGGTTAGATTTTTTTTTTTTTTTTTAGAAATGCCAAAACGTGGGGTGCCTGGGTGGCTCAGTTGGTTAAGCGACTGCCTTCAGCTCAGGTCATGATCCTGGAGTCCCGGGATCGAGTCCCGCATCGGGCTCCCTGCTCGGCAGGGAGTCTGCTTCTCCCTCTGACCCTCCTCCCTCTCATGCTCTCTGTCTCTCATTCTCTCTCTCTCAAATAAATAAATAAAATCTTAAAAAAAAAAAAAAAGAAAGAAAGAAATGCCAAAACGTGGTTTGCAAAAATCGTGATAGGTATTATGTGTCTTGCATTTTTCCAGCTTATGCATTTAAAACGAAAATATAGACTGACCAGGTATGATTTCAATTGGAAATATGATGAAACAGCTCAACTGGATGTCCTCTGAGAACCTGAAGCCCCTCATAAGCCTTGATCGGACCAACCTGATTTCTGAAAAGCCCTCTAAGTCAGTGTCCCAGTGTGGCGTTGGGTGGGTCACCTCGCCTCTCTGAAGGTGAACAGCTGAAAAGCAGAACTAGCAATGGCCTACAGGCCTGATGAGTCAGTCCCCACAGTAAGGGCTTAGAACATTTTACACCGAGGTACACGAAGTGTCCACTATGAGCCAGTCCCGGTGCTAAGCTTTTTTTTCCTTTTTCTTTTCTTTAGGGTGGGGGGAAGGGGAGAGGGAGGGAGGGAATCCCAAGCAGGCTCTGCTCAGCGTGGAGCCGGAGGCAGGGCTCGATCCCGCGACCCCAAGATCATGACCTGAGCGGAAATCAGGAATTGCACGTTCAACCACAGAGCCCCTGAGGCGTCCCATGGTGCTACACTTTTTATGTGCACTCGTTCAGTTGATCCTTGGAGCTACGGTTCTGGATCCCATTTCTCAGATGAGAAAACAGAGGCGGAAGCAGGTGAATTGAGGAGCATCAAGGGTGATCCAGAGGCTGTGTTCTGGCGGCCTCCCGACTGAAACGTGAGCCTATTATTACTGTTGTTGCTCTGGTTATTTTTATTGAAACGAGCATGATAGCATTGGTCTTGTACAGCTGCGAGGAGGATTAAATGAATTAAGTTTTAAAAGAGCTTAGTACGATACCTGGCACATAATAAGTGCTCCATAAGTGTTTGTTAAAGAAAACCAAAAAACATTTCAGGTTTCAGGCCCACAGCCCCGGGCGGGCAGGGTCCAATGCCCAAGAAAGCCTGTCCTGGGCTTTCCACGTGGCCTCTGCCCTGGCTCCTCCCTGCACCCTGTCCAGGAGGGGTTAAGGAGTTAATGATTTGCAAAACACACACACACACACACACACACTGTCACGCCGCCCCTTGCGCCCCCCACCCCCACCCCGCGAGGCGAGCCTGATGCAAGCCCAGCGCCCGCCCGTTCCCAGGCCCGGCTGCAGCTGCGGGCGGAGGGGCAGGGCGGGGGCGGCGCTGTTTGTCTAGCGCGGCCGTGCCAAAGGCGGCGGGCCCCAGACAGCCAGGCGCCTCCGTACACCTGGGGATGCTCAGGTTAAATAGCTCCGCATTCCTCGGGCCCAGCTGATGGAAACGCTCCCAGGCCGCCGCCGAGCCGGCCTCCAGATGGGCTGGGCCCCGGCCAAAGGGGAAAAGAGGGAAACGTGGAAGCCAGAGTGCGCCTGAACGGCGGGGGGTGGCCGAGGCCCCCGCCGCAGCCCCTTCCTCCCCTGGAACGAGGCCCTGCCGCGTGTGGGAGGACGCGCGGGGGACACGCCTACGTGCCCGTGGGTGGGCTCGCAGCGGGGCCGCCCCGGGAGGGAATGGGTGCGCACGTGTGCCTCTGAGGACACTCCAAGGACACACAGGCGACAGTTAATAATGATAATTTGTAACTATCCAACGCTGTGTGCTAAATGCTCTATTCCGTTTAGTCCCTACAGTTCGGAGAGGTGAATGCTACAAAACAGCAGCGGGGTGGGGCGTTGAGTGGGGAGTAGCAAAGGGCATAATTTACCTCCAGATACTGTGTTCTTTGATTAAGTCCATGAAGTGCTTGGGGTGGGGTGGCACCTGGCTCAGTGCTAGTGCTCAGCGGGTGATGATCTTGCATTTGTCCCTGATGCTGTTCCTCTCTTCCGAGCCTCAGTTTGTTGTTGTAAACCTGGGATCAGAATCCTGGCTTTAGCCCCGCAGGGATCCATGGGATCCCCTATGTAAAGAGTTGAGCATGGAGCCAGCTGGGGGTGCTAGGTGCTATCTATTTTATTCCATTTATTGACAAAATGCATTAATAGTCCTTGCCCTCTCTGGGATAAGTCCTTTGCCCTTGCTGGGGCTCGGTTTTTCCCTGGGTACTACGGGGGAACTGAGGTGGTAGGGATACTTGAGGGTGGTGTCCCCAGGGCCTAACAATTGCTCAGAAGGTTGGTACTTGAACTTCTGAGGGAGGGTTTGCCTGAACACAGCTGCCCCCACCTCCACCCCAGACCAGCAGAGACCCAGGAATGCCAGCCAACTTACAGAACAATTACACACTTAGAAACCCATAGTGTGGTTCGGAAGCTCCCGGACATACAGACCCATCCACCAAGCCAAACCCATGCATAGATGCCCATAATGCATTGAGGCAGAACACACAAGCCTAAACAGCTGGAGGTTGCACTTATCTGCAGAACACATGTGCTCGCATTTGCCCTTCTGCATACACCCCCATGCTTATCCTTACCCACACCCCTAGGCCTGTATACCAGCAGATGACCCAGCCCCACGGGGGGGGGAATCTGCCAGTTCACTTATGTCACTAACACAGGCCCAGACACTCATAGGCACTCCCCCGTGTACAAACTTGCACATGTCCAGGCAGATAGTCCCTTGCCAATGACATCTTTCTCCTGCTCAAGAGCTGGGGACTGACTCCCATTCCTCCTCAGCCCACATGGGAACCCTGGGGGAGAGAGGTCTGTGTGCGCTGTTGGCATACCCAGGCCAGGGTGAGGGGGCTGAGCCTGGACCCAGAGCAGGTGGCCCAGCAGCTGTGCCCAGGCTGGCCCTGCCAACTTGCTCACCCACTTGGACAAGCTGGGAGCCCCGGGGCTGCCTGCTACAATCCAGGGCTAGGCAGCCCAACAGGGGAAGGACCTCCTACTGGGGAATGGGGCAACAGAAGTCCTGCCTCAGATAAACTCTGGGCAAGTCTTCCCTCTAGGTCTCCCCTTCCCCTATCTTGGCAAAGATGGAGGCAGCTCAGTCACCTGGTTCTCCAACTTACACATAGCCTGTGGAATACTCAACCGAGAGGGGAACTTGGCAGGTTGATCTGCATTTTAACAACCTCCCCAGGTGGCCCAGATGGCCCAAGACCACTTGGAGAGACCCTAGAGGTCTAGAGGATTTAATTTTATGGCACGGGGGAGCAGGGAAATGGCCAGTGATGGGGAAAGAATGGACTTTAAAGACACCGGAAAACACGCAGTTCAGGTCGGTAAAAGCGACAGTCCAGATGTGGCCTTCTAGTCCCCCTCCCCCCTCCCCAGCACGAGCTGTGAAAAGGGTCAGGGGTCACCCGCATCCCAAGGCCCTCCCCTCAATCCAAGAAATCACTGCAACTTTACCGCAGTCTAAAGTATTTGTTTAATAACAACAACAACAAAAAAAACCACCCCACAGAACTATTGTAAAACAATATTCTCGGTGATCATTGTAATATACAATACAAAGCAATTAATTTCCTCAGAAATCTGAGAAGCACCAAACGTGACCATTTTTTAAAATGTCTGCTTTTCAAAAAATAGAAACACACTGGGGGTCCCCCAAGTCTCTGGTATCTGGTAGGTGTGGAGGGAGGGTCAGCCTGCCCTCGTCAGTCCCCCGGCCCTGGGCTGGATCCAGCAAGCGCCCCACGGTCGCTGATCTCAATCTTGTTCCTCCCCAGCTCCGGCAAGGCGCTCGGCAGGATCAGAGCATGAATTCTTCTCGCCCCCTGGAGGGCTGGGGTCCGCCAGTCCTTGAGAGAGGCGCTTCAGCGACACAAGATGCGATCGTCCGCCGGGACACATGCCGCCTGTGAAAGAGAGGAGAGGTGAGACAGGCGGGTTGGAGGGGGCAAGGCTGCAAGCCCTGCCCCAGGAGACACTTTGAGAGAGCGCTGTTTCCGATCTCCCTGGGCATCCTTGCATAGCCAGGTGCCCGAAAGGATGGGACGGACGTAGAGCCAAATACCAGCCCCCCACCGCCTCCCTCTGGGTCTCAGTTTACCCATCTGTAGAAAGAAAATGCTCCCGCGCTCCAGTTCGGATCTCACCTCGGCCGCCAGGGCACTGATCTCGCCGTTGAGGGTGCTGAGCGGAGCCCGGGCAGGGAGCCCCCGGCCTCCAGGGGTCCCGACTTGAGATTCCGAGTTCAGCTCCAACTCCAGGTCCCAGATGTAGTCGATGACGTGCTGAAGGATCTCCACCCGGCTCACTTTGCGGTTCTGGGGCAGGGTGGGCACCAGCTCCTTGAGGCGCGAGTAGCAGCCATTCATGTCGTAGAGCAGCACGTTCACCTGCTGCTCGTCGAGCAGGGCGGGCAGGCGCGCCCCGGCGCCCCCCGCGCAGCGCGAGATGGCCACGCTCTGCTCGGACAGACAGCGCACCACCTCGCCCGCGCCGCCTGCCGTCTTGCCGGCCTTCAGCGCGCAGCTGGGGCCCGCGGCGGCCGCGGCACTGCCACTGGCGACCTTCATGATTCTGGCGTCGGAGAAAGAGGAGGGAGGCGAAGCGCACGGAGGAGGCGGACGCCGGGTGGGGGCGAAAACCTCGAAGCGGAGAGAAGACGGTTGTAGAATGCGAGGGCCGAGCCCCGCAGCCGTTCTTATAGAGACGCCGCAGCTCCCCCCGCCCACCCCGCCCACTGCCCCCGCCGCCAGAGGCGGGCTCAGAGGTTC